ACCATACCTACTCCCCTGTTATAGTACAGTATAAAACCATACCTACTCCCCTGTTATAGTAAAGTATAACACCATACCTACTCCCCTGTTATAGTACAGTATAAAACCATACCTACTCCCCTGTTATAGTATACAGTAAAACACCATACCTACTCTCCTGTTATAGTACAGTATAACACCATACCTACTCCCCTGTCATAGTACAGTATAAAACCATAGCTACTCCCCTGTTATAGTACAGTGTGCAACCTCTTACATATGACTTACACACTCTGTTGTCTAATTAGCATGTGTCAGAAAAATATTTCAGCAAATGTATTCTAAAAAATAAATTTAATTATAAATTTTGGCAATCTATTGATAGTAAGAGGTTAAAACTTAGAGGATTCCATTCAGTTAAATCATTCTGCCAGATGTTATCCTTTTATTATAAGCATGAAAGTTAGTTTGCTCCAAGAAGTTAAGTTACTCAATGATGAAAATGTTCACAACATTATAATTCAGTAAATATTAAAATGCTATAATTTTTGATGATATAAATGTGACTCAGCGAAATGGCCGATACTGACCTGCTATATCTACTACACAGGATATGCCCCCCCCCCCCCCCCTCTGATAATTGGAGGCTGAATTAAAGCAGTTCAACTGCCCTATTTCTGATGTACAAGAGTCAGGATACACTTCATTGCAAAACAGTATTAACATTTACTAGACAATGGATCTGACAAATGTGCAAAAATGAACAGCAACAAAAATGACAGTAACAAAACAGAAATAGACAATTCCTTAGGAAATTATTTGTTGTCAGACACCTTATAAGTCTGGTTAAAATAGGATCAACTGTCCTTTATGTGACAGGCAGCTGGCTACAACAAACACAAGAATTCCACGGGAGTGGATGTGTCGCCTGCTCAGCGCTTTTAGTAAGAAAAGTGTTTTGGCTTGAGTTGTCGCATAAACAGATATGCCAAAACACGGAAAGTTGAAACTCGACAGATTTAAAAAAAAAATATATGTTGAACATTATTGCTTCTAGCATTACCGTACAAAATTTGAAAGGAATTAATTCAAAAATAAAAAAGTTCTTGCATTTACTACACAATGCCCTTATTTGGCAATAAAAGGGGCATAACTCCACCAAAAATGCACGAACTTGTCCGAGCTATATTGGTATGCAATTTGTGTACTAAGTTTGAGTTTAATCAACCCAAGGGATCTCATGTTATTGTACGGAAACCTTGTTTCGGACGATGCAACCGACGCCGCCGACAAAGTAATACTTATATATTTCGCCTCACGTTGCAGACGACACAAAAAGTAAGTCATCAAGAAGAACAAAATATATAAAACATCTCTATATTGTAAACAACATAGGGAAGAGCTAGAACTAAGTACTACATACCTGCTACAAAGCTGTCTGCGGGCTGAGGCCCAGTGTACAGACTGAAATATACACAGATAGCAAACCAAACGTCAGTAGAGGTCAGAGGTCAATTCACTTAGGTAAGGAATCAAACATAAGAGGGTGTGCTCAGGTCATGATATCTAGCTACAGGAAATGTACCTCATTGTCCAACTGCTTTATATATCTGATATTTTGTACCATCAGCCATAGCTACATCGTTGTATTTTGTAGAACATGTGTCTGCACATTAGTGTATTATAGGTGCATTCCTCCAAAACCTCGTGTAGAACATGTGTCTGCACATTAGTGAATTATAGGTGCATTCCTCCAAAACCTCGTGCAGTTCCCTTTGCTGTATGTCAGAAACATTACGACTGCTGATACATAATATGAATAAAAGTGGCAGGAACTGTTCCATATCTGTGTTTTGTGTGTATGTAACTGTATAGACATAGGTGATTGTTTATTATATGTAAATATAGGGGTAGTTTTGATTTGTTTGTGGTTAAATACAACAACCAAGACCACACGGAGACTGAAATGTTAGTGTGGAAGAGTGGAGATATTAGGGTTTTTTTAATTAGCGACTTCATCCCTGGTTGTTGAATGACAAGTTTTTATGCTGTAGCTCTATGGCTGATGTCACAAAACATCAGAAATATCAATCAATCAATGGGTTACAGCTCCACAGCTAGGGTAGTCATATCAGTGTAAGTGTTAGTAAGAGGTGTGCCACAGGTAATAATACTCCGTACCAACTAAACCGGTGCAGGTCTAAACTAATACAAATGGTTTTCTGTGTACGGCTCAACTGTGGCTACAGTAACTGAACATCGGTAATGCCAGGATGTACACTTACATATTTTGAACGATAGCTAGCCTGAGGGCAGATTCATAATTTACCCGGCCAAGTTATTTTTTCCTTGTAAACATTTTGAGATTTAATTTTCCTTAACAGAAAATCTATTTGACCGTGGTGTCTGCGAAAATGTACAGCCTGTCTAATGAATGTGGATGTCCTCCATTCTCTGTTTGATTGGTGTTAAGCAATAGTAAATAACAGACAATCACAACAGCAAGTTAGTGCAAACAGCTCGACGAGGCATTCTCCGGGTTCTATTTTGTGTATTAGAGTTCACTTATATTACATCTTTTTACACCAGTTGTTATTGATTTTTGGTTTCTGTATTTTCATATACATACCAACAACAAATAGTTTATTAATACCGGTAAGTGCTATTTTTTTTTATGAATTTAGAATTTGTTTCGAATTTCACAATCCACTAAAATGCAAAAATATAAAGTCAATTGATTAATGAAGAAAAAAACTGAAATTCCGGAGATTTCAAATTTAAGGAAATCAAAATTTTGAAAATTATCAAGAATCAAAATTAGAAGTCGTGAAATTGAAAATGATATTTAACATTGCTGTGATTATTGTTAGTAAGGAAAATGTTCGATAAACAAGAAACTGAGAAAAACAAAATAAACGTGGAAACTGTACAGAGTATCTTGGTGTTGAGTCACTCACCAGTATTGGAAAACCTGGCACACAACAACAATTACACTAAGATATAACACAAAATGTATACAATTGAACAATTATCTTTCAGCAACCTTTCTCTTTATTTCCATGAGCTTTAAAATTGTATTTAACTGATGGAAGACATGTACACATGCTTTTTCAGGGTTATTCTAAATATAATGAGATGGATAGTGACACTGTTTTGCGACCCCCATAACTCATAAATATTTTTTTCTTTGGACCTGATCAGTAATGTTAACCATTATTTTTGAGCTCATCATTCAAATATAATATTATCAGTCATAAGTGCCTTAATTCCCTTTCAATATTTTCATCTGATACCATTATCATTATCAATCATTTATCTCGAAATAGAAAATATTTACAAATAACTGCTAACATAGTTCCCTTATACAATGAACATTGTATGAAGCCTACAATTATCGTATTTCCTTGATGACAGGTTTTGGGTAAAAGACACTTACTTTATATTAAGTTTTACATTAGCTTCTTGCTGTCGTTCCCGCATGATCTGAAATTAGAAATTTACAGAAACTCAACATTCATAAGTCACTTTCTGAAAACAGTTACCATAAAAAATCCAAACTTGTCTGGTACCTAATCAAAATTATGGAAAAATTTAGTACGGAATTTAAAACATTTTGAAGAATATTTTTTTTCTAGTTTAGCCCCATGAGTACCCTGGTCAGTACTTATACCAGTGCTACTGTCCTCCATATAACAAAGTATATATACCAATGCTACTGTCCTCCATATAACAAAGTATATATACCAGTGCTACTGTCCTCCATATAACAAAGTATATATACCAGTGTTACTGTCCTCCATATAACAAAGTATATACCAGTGTTACTGTCCTCCATATAACAAAGTATATATACCAGTGCTACTGTCCTTCATATAACAAAGTACACAAGGTTTATAATGATACTGGATTAAACTGTAGGAGTAAAGCTATCAAATATATATAGTTTCATTCTCAATATCTGTATCATCTAGAATACTACAAAACTAGAAACATATACTCAGTGTTTATGTTGGACTCAGTTTAGTGTAAACAAAGGATTGTATTGTATATTTAGCAGAACTTACCCGGCTAAGCTTGTAACCTGTATTTGATATGTTGCGAGCCCCTTCTTTACGTAGTTCTTCCCCATCCTCTGAAAAAACCAAGCCAGCATTGCAAGTGAATGTGAGATCGTTACGTTTCATTAACTGAGAAGTAATTTCTCCTCTATTTTGCGTTTTCTATGAAAATCCAGGTTTTCAGAAAATGTGTTATTTACCAGTTCTACAAAATTTGTAATCAATCCTAGTACTGTATAACACGAAATGTTCGTGGGTACTTTCCTTCGTGGTTTGAAGCCATTTAGATCATTTCGTGGTACTAACTTTTGTGAGTATCCTATATTAACGAACAGCAGACATGTATATCATTCAAATTAGTTGTATTTATTTTTGTGGTTCAATAGTGACCACGAAAACCACGAATGTTTATACACAACGAACATTTCATGTTATACAGTAACTGAATCCATGCCCAGGCTTTAATTTGACACTTCGTGAAGTTCAAACAATGATTTGGTAATTAGTTCTCTGTGAAGTAGAATAATAAAATACATTTTCAGTTACATTCAACCCAATCACTAAAATATCATTTCTCAGTATTTTTAACCATAAATGAAACATGACGCCTAGTGGGCCCGCACTGCATCACCTAGAGATTTAAGCAATCATGCTAAATATTAAAGAAATAATTCAAACATTTCCCCATTTTGGGCTCCCCCTCACAGCTCCCAGGGGGACCCTTTCTTTATTGTTGATTCCTGGTCCAGAAGATGCTTTATAACAGGCTGCAATAATTGGGCGAGTGTCCAGACGCTATCACTCCGGTGTGTCTGGTTCACCCTCACTTCAGTGACTTTTTACCACTAGAGGGCGCTGTTATCACAGACATCAACAAAAACATATTTGCCCTCCAGTCACCATATCATTCCTGACAGCAACTATGAAATCAGAGTTTCCTAAACCGGTGTTTTTGTTACCTAAATTTTACAACAGCCTGTTCCCTTATGAATTGGGAAAATATAGCATTATTTGTACGAAATTGGAAATATATTCCTCGTCTTTTATAATTTTTGGAAAATAAGGCACTTTTTAGCTAGGGGAAACAGCCTGTATTCCGCAGTAAAACTGAGCAAAAAACCCCACTGTAAACTTACATCAGTAACAGAAGTATCGGTGCTGGTTCTGACATATCTTACCTAACAGTTCTATGGCGTCATCCTCTTCCTCCATTCCCTTCTCTTCACCGTAGCCCGAGTCGTTCTGAGATTCCTCGGTGATCATTTGTTCTAGCTCCTTCCGATGGGACTTGGCATCAACTTTACGACCTCGCACACGACTTGTACTGAATCATAAAAACAGGTCTCAATATCACAATGAAATAACACACTTATAAAACAGTGCCATCCTGATTAAATTTGAGTAAAAACGAAGTGAGCAAGTGCTCACACAGATACAGGGCCCCTATATCCACAAAAGTTCTCAAGTGTGACCTTTGACCATGAATGATGCATGATCATCAAATTATAATCAGCTATTGAACTTAATGTTGTGACTGTGTGGTGTATATAAAAATTCAACATATTGACCAGTTCATGAGATGTCTTGTATGCATGCTTTTTACTACAGGCACACCGACACTCAAACAGAAATAGTGACAAAGCTGTTATAGTCGTTAATACAGCTTTATAATTAACAGTGTCCAATCAGGCCAAACACATGTAGCAGAGTCATATTTTATTGTATTTTGTATTAATTAAATACTCTGTGTTATATTCTATGTTGTGCCCAGTATGTTATTTATGGCTACATTCGCATATCCCGGTTGAAACGGTACGTGTGGCGCAGAAATTTTCCACGATAAACGAACAACCTTGGACCGTTCTATAAGCAGAGCTAAAAATCCACAGTTTCGGAGAATAAAAAACAATGTATCAAGAATATTATATCCTTCTCTCACGCGTCCACTAAATTACATAACGTATGTTAAAAATTACATGTGACTTGACATTGTTTAAGAAAGAAATAACGCAAATTGGCAATAGTCAGCATTTTAGTTTCGGTCAGGTACGTCTGGACCCCTCAATCTACACGTACCAAATTTTCCAGAGGTCAGCCTCGGTCCAAATCTGTACCTGTCGTTTTCTTTACAAGTTCAACCGGTTCAACCGTTTCAACCGGATACGCGAATGTACCCTAGGTGTTGATATTATGACGTACATGTCCTGTGGTGTGATCCTTACCTGTGATGTCTACCTGTCTTTACCTGTATAATATCCCATGGAGTGGTTATGTAAGGTCCAGTGTGTTATTGTTTATAGTCTATTTTCATTGGTCAGATATTTTGCATAGATTTCTGTTTCTATTGGTCAGTCTTATATTGGTCACTTTTGGCGGGATTTCATTGTGTCAGTTTTGTGAAAGATTTTGTAAGAGAGCAGACATGTTGATTTGGACACCGACACATACATCTTTTGACAGTAAGTTTTCTCTATTATCTAATATTAATAATTTCTTCACAGTTAAAGTTAATTGGGCTAGGGTTCTAGTTAATTTATATATATATTGGTAGTTTCTAAATAATTGTTAAATGGAATTTATTCATAATTATGTGAGGTTTTAAGAATTGACCAAGTAATATGTATTTCTTATATTTAGTGTATTTCATGTTTGAATCTCATGACTATTATTACACTAGGAAGAACAATAATGTTTACTAAAGTATATATCTGTATATTGATATTTACCATTTTTAAGAGAATGGTTTTATTTTATTTATGGATCGAATTATTCAGTACTAAGTGATTCGCTCGTTTGAAGACATCGGTTTCCTAATTCCTGGCTCTGTGCCATACACAGGTGCGTGATATGTACATTTTAAGTAATTTATATTTCCATGAAAGTTATATTCTAACTTTAGTTGTTAAAGTTAGGTTTATCATTTTCTTTCTTATTTCTTTTGGATTAAAAAACAATAGTTGAGAAACAATAATTGTAAAATATTGTAAAGTAATTGCCATGTATGCTGTGTAATTGTAACAGTATGAAATAGTAGGCAGTACAATAATTAGTTTGTAAGAGTTATGTCCCTTTAGTATATGTATTTTACTTGTGATTCGTTGTGGTAAATGTAGTCTTTTGTGTTTGTTTACAGAGTGTATGTATCTACCTATACACTAGGAAATTGAACCATGTTATATCTGTGCTGTGGAAATGGAATAAACATAAATCTCAAAGAACTCTAGGTTATTTGTAAAACCACCCCGCTACACACATTCAACAGTAAAGAGTTGGAAATCCTTTGATTATGAGATAAGATTGGTACAGAATGAATACTAAACTTATGGTTATTATTACTGATATAAAATATCCTCTCAACCGATAGAATTAAACTCATCCTGAATATATGTCACACATACCTGACAACCTTAACTGTGAACTCATCCTGAATATATGACACACATACCTGACAACATTAGCCGTTTCTTTGGTGACGCTAGGCCCCTTTTCATTCATGATTTCCCCGGCGAGTGGATCGTCGTTGTCGTATCTGTTTGTCCGGGGTCCTCTGTAGTGGGGGGAGTTATACTGTACATTATCATCATCCTACAGGAGAGAATAGACTTCTAATACATACAAGGCAGAACTTGAACCTCCTCATCCTGAATATATGTCACACAGACCTAACAACCTTAACTGTTAACTAATCCTGAATATGACACACATACCTGACAACATTAGCCGTTTCTTTGGTGACGCTAGGCCCCGTTTCATTCATGATTTCCCCGGCGAGTGGATCGTCGTTGTCGGATCTGTTTGTCCGGGGTCCTCTGTAGTTGGGGGAGTTATACTGTACATTATCATCATCCTACAGGAGAGAATAGACTTCTAATACATACAAGGCAGAACTTGAACCTCCTCATCCTGAATATATGTCACACATCCCTGACAACCTTAACTGTTAACTCTTCCTGAATATATGTCACACATACCTAACACCCTTAACTGTTAACTCATCCTGATGAGATAAGATTGGTACAGAATGAATACTAAACTTATGGTTATTATTTCTGATATAAAATATCCTCTCAACCGATAGAATTAAACTCATCCTGAATATATGGCACACATACCTAACAACCTTAACTGTTAACTAATCCTGAATATGACACACATACCTGACACCCTTAGCCGTTTCTTTGGTGACGCTAGGCCCCGTTTCATTCATGATTTCCCCGGCGAGTATCCTGAATATATGTCACACATACCTGACAACCGTAACTGTTAACTCATCCTGAATATATGGCACACATACCTAACAACCTTAACTGTTAACTCATCCTGAATATGACAGACATACCTGACAACCTTAACTGTTACCTCATCCTGAATATATGACACACATACCAGTCAACCTTAACTGTTAACTCATCCTCAATATATGTCACACATACCTAACACCCTTAACTGTTAACTCATCCTGATGAGATAAGATTGGTACAGAATGAATACTAAACTTATGGTTATTATTTCTGATATAAAATATCCTCTCAACCGATAGAATTAAACTCATCCTGAATATATGTCACACTTACCTAACAACCTTAACTGTTAACTCATCCTGATGAGATAAGATTGGTACAGAATGAATACTAAACTTATGGTTATTATTTCTGATATAAAATATCCTCTCAACCGATAGAATTAAACTCATCCTGAATATATGGCACACATACCTGACAACCTTAACTGTGAACTCATCCTGAATATATGATACACATACCTGACATCCTTACCTGTTAACTCCTCCTGAATATATGATACACATCCCTGACAACCTTAACTGTTAACTCACCCTAAATACATGACACACATACCTAACAACCTTAACTGTTAACTCATCCTGATGAGATAAGATTGGTACAGAATGAATACTAAACTTATGGTTATCATTACTGATATAAAATATCCTCTCAACCGATAGAATTAAACTCATCCTGAATATATGTCACACAAAACTTATGGTTATTATTACTGATATAAAATATCCTCTCAACCGATAGAATTAAACTCATCCTGAATATATGTCACCCATACCTGACAATCTTAACTGTTAGCTCATCCTGAATATATGTCACACAGACCTAACAACCTTAACTGTTAACTAATCCTGAATATGACACACATACCTGACACCCTTAACTGTTAACTCATCCTGAATATGACACACATACCTGACAACCTTAGCCGTTTCTTTGGTGACGCTAGGCCCCTTTTCATTCATGATTTCCCCGGCGAGTGGATCGTCGTTGTCGTATCTGTTTGTCCGTGGTCCTCTGTAGTTGGTGGAGTTATACTGTACATTATCATCATCCTACAGGAGAGAATAGACTTCTAATACATACAAGGCAGAACTTCAACCTCCTTTAACTTAACGATATACTTGATACTCCAGGAGTTATGCTTACTTACACTCTCGGGGCAGACAGCGTAAGTGATTGGGTGGTGCAGTGGATAGCGCACTTGCCTTTCACCAAGGTGGCCGGGTTTCGAATTCGATCAGGGGTTTTCTCCGGGTACTCCGGTTTCCTCCAACACTGAGACCCCCCACCCCCCCACCCAGTGCGCTTACATCCGGGCCAACAAGAGTGATTAATATAAGTTGAAATGACTTGTTTCATAATTGTTGTAAATAAATAAGTTTATATAATAAGTGAGCCTAACCCCTGGAGTATTGAGGATGACTAAAATTAATGATAGATATTGTCAAATTTTTATATTCAATTTTCTTTCATAAGGCATCTTTGCAGAAATATGACAACAGCGCGTTTTTGAGGTGACCATTTTGAATCCTGGGATATTTGATTTTTAGTTTTGAAAATATCACGGACTGAAATTGAACTTTATATCCCATTGCATATTTCATAATCAATGAAAATCTTAAATCTCTCTGGTCCATATGATATATGATTGAGTTTGAAAACATTTGTACAATAATTTCTTTTTAAACTGAACACCTTTTCCCCATAACAACATATCGGTATACATATCACAATACATTTCTCCTGTATTACAATGTATTGTATGTATACACTGGCCAGGCGTACTGCGATACACTGGCCAGGCGTACTGCGATACACTGGCCAGGCCTACTGCGATACACTGGCCAGACGTACTGCGATACACTAGCCAGGCGTACTGCGATACACTGGCCAGGCGTACTGCAATACACTGGCCAGGCGTACTGTGAAACACTGGCCAGGCGTACTGTGATACAGTGGCCAGGCGTACTGTGATACACTGACCAGGCGTACTGTGACAGACCTATACTTCCATTAAAATCACTGTAATTCCAATGGAAATACATGCCTCTGCTAATCAAAACAGTTTTTCCTTAATTAACTTTAGCTTGTAGACTAGAGAGCTACGGACATAACTTCTGATAGATATATTTCTGATGAAATATTTTTGTAAGGCACTAGATACACTTTTGCTAAATAATTTATCACTTAAGTAATAAATTGTTTAGCAAAAGTGTATCTAGTACCTTACAGTCTGTACTCAGGTTTTTACATTTAACCCTTTCAACCCTATGTAACTTTAGTAGACTCTACTTTGCATTGATATGGATGAGTCCATTATGGTCTACATTGGTGAAAGGGTTAAAGAAGAACTTTACGAGGAATGGAAAAAAAAAAAAAAAAAGTTAATTTAAAAACTCATCACTTAGATGCAGAAAATGGCTATATTTAAATACTGACAAGGTATCAACATATTCTTGATAAACCTTTGGAACAATGGCACAAATTTTAAAATTCTTAATAGAGTAACCAATTTCTAAGCATAAAAAATGTTCATCTTACAGCTACCTCTTTGACAATTTACATGAGAGAACAAAATGCATTATGCATATCTATATATGCCACATCGAAATTTGAAAAAGATAGGTTTTTACAATTCCAAGGTGGTTTACTCAAATCGACGTCCTTTGATGGGATATACTGACCATTCCACTGGAGCCCCAGGCCTTCCTGGCGTCTGTCGGCGAAGATTCAGGTTTCTTTTTCTGTTTGGAACTACCCGCCTTTCCTGGCGATTCCTCAAATATTTCATCAAAGGAAGAGAAACCAACTTTATTATCAGTGTTCCATGGCTGACCTTTCTGTTTTTTCCCTGACAACAGTATGGAATGTATAGTATATAGTTAACCATTTAATTAGATACAGTATCATCGATGATACACAACCTGAGGATGGTAACTAGGATTTATACACTTGGTAAATAGGCTGGGAATAAAGAGAGAATATTACTGATACTACTCAATGTTAATGTCATTAAATAAATTGAGGGTTTTACACATAAACAATAAAATGTCAAAGCCTAGATTATGAAGTCTTTGGACAAATGTATTAAAATAGTTTTAACACTTTGACGAAGATGATACCATTAGAAATGATATATAAACAAAACAATCTACCCAGGGGTGTACAATTTCATACCTACAGTACTAGCTATATATAGCCAGGAGGCAGATTTGAAAATTCTATCTGTAACAAATTTTGTAACACAGTAAGTTTTGAAGATTCTCGCCGGCCCTGACATAAAATCTACTAGCCTTGAGTATCTGGGTAGAGGAATTATACACACTCCAATTTTATATTTCATAACTGTCCTTTAATAGTGTAATTACCAAAATATTGTATACACAGGTATTGAAGTTATGCTTACAAGAAACAAATGATAAGTGTTTTACAGACGAATGGTCTGGAATCATACATTTTCAACTACAAAGTCACAGTGACCTAATTTGAACCCCAAAGGGTTCTTGGTCCTTGTCAAGGTATCCTATGAGTGTAGGTGAAAAGCAAAACTTAATGTAATTCATTGGTTTCACCAAACAAGCACGTTGTATTGGATTCAATCCTACACATGATTTATCCTGCAATAAGCCCATCAGGACGTCAAAACATTACTTCTGACTCATGTAGGGGGTGGGCTTATTAAAGGATGAAAAACAAACCTTTGTAAACATTTTCACTGAATTGTATAGTAGATATACGGACGGGCACACTACCTGGCACGGGCTTACTGACAGATAGATTTTTAGTTACAGAACCTTTTTTCGACATATCGATTCAATGTCAACAACACTGAATATAATATACAATATTTCTAATTATTGTCCTTCCACTGCTGATATAACTGAGCAGAACTCTTTAGGTGTATATTAATCAACATTTCAAATTGTTTAAGGAAGCAGATATTGCAGTGAAATCAGAATTGGTGTAAATAAAACATACAGTCATGCAATGATTCCTGTTTGACACAATAATATTAGGAAATTTTGTTTATTTCCAAAAGTTGTAAAATGACTGAACAATTTTGAGTTACCCTGAAGACTGTACAGTACATTAACATACCCGGTAAGTACATGCCGAGAGTGTAAAACTTTCGCTTTGTGTCAGTAATTAACTTCACAAAACTTGACATTCTCATGGAGTAAACTCCGGACAGTGATAACCTCTGACATATGAACCTACATTACCGTTACAATGACGGATACAATCTAACATACGCATGCTGTCAGTATTCTAGCAGAAACACAAGTAATACTACCCTGATCTGTAACACCATAACACCTGGTTATACTGGTATAACATACTACAGCTGGTAACCACAGGCCTCCATGCGGTAAGTAACATATATATATATATATATGGTTAACATGTAAACTGTAGCATGATGTTTGTGTATATGGCCCTGTATTACCCTGAACCTTCTGTCCAGTCATGGCGTTCAACCTTCCCCAGTATTAGTAGATATTTACATGACATTATAAGCCTTGTCCCTTCACAATAGATTACTATGTATGGTATATATGCTGTGTATACAAATATTAACCAACATGATCGATTCGAAATAGACAATTAAACAGTTATAAGGCCAAAAGAAACATGTGTGTTTCATGTATCAAGACCTTCCCTACATTTTAATGCCAACCCTAGATATTTTATTACCTACTTGTATAAAAGATTAATTTATTAGCCAGGCAAAGTTCACAGCCACTCATTAAAATGTACTTCCTTCCTGCTCTGAGAGTCTGACCTTATTCTTGACAAAGTGATAGCCATTGTAATATGTGGAAATGCATTGTAAAATTTGAAATAAAGCATAATATGTATTCACGAAATTAAATGCCTGCCGACCTTATTTTTTTCAGACATGTTACCTGAAACAAACACATTTTTTTTGGCCTAAATACAATATGTATACAAAAGTTACCGTGATTTGGATGTACTTTTACTTGGATATATCCAAGTTCAAGTACATCCAAATCACGGTAACTTTTGAACATAATGAATGATTTGTTATATACAATGTAGCTTCAGTAACCAGATTCTCTATGCTGTAATTGAATTAGTAAACCTAGATAAACTCTATATCAAAACATTGTCACCGGTTTAAATTTCACCTTTTACGCGTTTGATAATCCGGCGCATTTACTGTGACAGCAAATATTAGTACACAGCATATATATACCCATCCTCGATATCCAGGGGTTACGCTCACGTTCGCTCTCTACACCCCTCGAATATGTCATAGCAAAGTTGAAGGCTCCTATTGCGCCACCTTGTTGATGAGACAAGAAGACTAGTTCGATCCTTTGATGTACATCAAAAGAATCTTGCGGTCATGTAACGGTAAGAATTGACAGGCATTGAACTCGGGCGTCTCCCCTATGTAATCTTAAAAGGACAGGTATCAGCCTATAGTGATTGGTCAGTTTGTTTTACCTGAGACCAATCAAACAGCTATCTTCGTGCCTTCAATTTTACTATGACATATTCCAGGGGTGAAGAAAGCGAAAGTGAGCTTAACCCCTGGATATCGAGGATGATATATACCATAACTAGAAATTACTTGTGTAGGGCAAAAATTTACATTGAACAAAAATAGATTTCACTGGGGCAGGGGGGATACTGGACTAGGCTGACGTTTCTGGTACACCGGGGCAGGGGGAATACTGGACTAGGCAGACGTTTTCTTGTATACTGGGGCAGGGGGAATACTGGACTAGGCAGACGTTTTCTGGTACACCGGGGCAGGGGGAATACTGGACTAGGCTGACGTTTTTGGTACACCGGGGCAGGGGGAATACTGGACTAGGCGGACGTTTGCTGGTACCCCGGGGTAGGGGGAATACTGGACTAGGCGGACGTTTTCTGGTACACCAGGGCAGGGGGAAGACTGGACTAGGCCGACGTTTTCTGGTACACCGGGGCAGGGGGAATCCTGGACTAGGCTGACGTTTTCTGGTACACCGGGGTAGGGGGAAAACTGGACTAGGCGGACGTTTTCTGGTACACCAGGGCAGGGGGAATACTGTACTAGGCTGACGTTTTCTGGTACACCGGGGCAGGGGGGATACTGGACTAGGCAGACGTTTTCTTGTACACTGGGGCAGGGGGAATACTGGACTAGGCTGACATTTTCTGCTACACTGGGGGAGGGGGAATACTGGACTAGGCTGACGTTTTCTGGTACACCGGGGCAGGGGGAATACTGGACTAGGCTGACGTTTCTGGTACACCGGGGCAGGGGGAATACTGGACTAGGCAGACGTTTTCTTGTACACTGGGGCAGGGGGAATACTGGACTAGGCAGACGTTTTCTTGTACACTGGGGCAGGGGGAATACTGGACTAGGCTGACGTTTTCTGGTACACCGGGGCAGGGGGAATACTGGACTAGGCTGACGTTTTCTGGTATACTGGGGCAGGGGGAATACTGGACTAGGCTGACGTTTTCTGGTACACCAGGGCAGGGGGAATACTGGACTAGGCTTACGTTTTCTGGTATACTGGGGCAGGGGGAATACTGGACTAGGCTGACATTTTCTGGTACACAGTATACAAGCTCTTACATAATAAATGGTAAGATATTACAATAACCTTACATTACCATCCTAAAACTAATCTTACTATACATAATGAATGGTTAGATATTACAATAACCTTACATTACCATCCTAAAACTAATCTTACTATACATAATAAATGGTTAGATATTACAATAACCTTACATTAAACATCCTAAAATTAATCTTATTATACGTATGTAGTTAAACCTCTCTAATGAGAACATCGGAAACCTGGAAACCAATATTTTGTTACGAATGGAAAGTTACAGAATACATCGATACACTTTTATATACATATAGATGAAACCTTATACAGGGTGGTTACATTTTGTTTTCCAAATCTCACAGGTACACTTTGTGTGGAAGCTACGAAGTGGGGCCTAGTTCAAGTCTCATTTTATAAGAGTTTCTCACAAGTTCACTTTGCATAGAAGCTATATAATTAAACACCTACTTGAAGTTTCTTGTTTATACAGGTGTTCAGACAGTACAGGGTTTAGACAGATGAGACTGGGTTAGAGGATTTTGTCAGCGAGTCTATATAAATATATATATACATGTACATACTGTTCAGGAAGAAACCCTCACCACCTTCGTTTATATGAACGTAATGTAATGACTAGGACGTAAACCCGAGCCCACATGCTGTGTGAGTTACATATAATATACATACAATACACTATAGCTGACTCTGTTAGCAGGCAGGGACTGCACAACCATTCACTTTCAGGGTTTATTTAGTTTGAGGTAATACCATGAGGATACTCAAGGTGATCAAGCGGACCATCCACCAGACATGATAAGCTAAACACAGCCATGCTGAGATAAGTAAGGTTAACCTGGACTTATTGGTGTGACCAACAAAACATCAACCAGACATGATAAGCTAAACACAGCCATGCTGAGATAAGTAAGGTTAACCTGGACTTATTGGTGTAACCAACAAAACATCATCCAGGGGAGACAACTGCACATCGTGACGCGGGGAGGAGGGGGACCTGAGAGCAGATTGAGGACGAAGGTTTGCCGACTGAGGACGCAGAGTTGTAGACTGAGGACGGAGAGTCTGTGAGTGAGGACGACAGCTTTGTGTTGACTGAGGTCGAAGGTTAGAATCCGACAGCAGATGTTTTGGTACCTGTCTACCAGCTGTAAGGAACATCTCACTGTAGCCCTCTTAAACCACATACTTTTAACATTTGGATACAAAATACAGGTAGAGTACTGGTCATTTGATATGTTCTAAATAGCCCATCACTTTTGGTTTGTTTGTGTTTTACGTCCTATTAACAGCTATGGTCAATTAAGGATGTCCCAGGTTTTGGTGGTGGAGGAAAGCCGGAGTTCCCAGAGAAAACCACCGACCAACGGCCAGTACCTGGCGACTGACCCACTTAGGTCTCGAACCCGCAACACAATAAGGAGACACAGGGCCAAAGAAAAAAAATGAATTGAGCATGACACACACATCAGTTTTACTGGTATAGTGATATCTCAATAAAACCTATTGTCCCCACACAAGACAGTATAAACATCTACCAAAGACAGGTAATAAGGTGGGACACATTGTACCAAATTGTCTTGAATCTCTGACAAAGAAATCTTAACATAATCCCAGTGCTATGTTTTGCCATCTTTTCTGGAACCCAGGACATGACAATCAAAATATCACCCAGGACATGACAATCAAAATATCACCCAGGACATGACAATCAAAATGACACCCAGGACATGTCAATCAAAATAACACCCAGGACATGACAATCAAAATAACACACAGGACATGTCAATTCAAAATAACACCCAGGACATGACAAGCAAAATAACACCCAGGACATGTCAATTCAAAATAACACCCAGGACATGAAAATCAAAAAAACACCCATGACATGTCAATTCAAAATAACACCCAGGACATGACAATCAATATAACACCCAGGACATGACAATCAAAATAACACCCAGGACATGACAATCAAAACACCCAGGACATGTCAATAAAAATAACACCCAGGACATGACAAGCAAAATAACACCCAGGACATGTCAATCAAAATAACACCCAGGACATGACAATCAAAATAACACCCAGGATATGACAATCAAAATAACACCCATGATATGACAATCAAAATAACACCCAGGACATGACAATCAAAATAACACCCAGGACATGAAAATCAAAATAACACCCAGGACATGACAATCAAAATAACAGCTCACCACTGATACAATGTTGTCAACCAATTATACACCATCAAAGTAATATTTACCACTTCCTACCTTTCAGGATCCTGTTACACTTGAAGCATATTTTTTTCGAGGGTACTTTGCAAACTCTTATGTTCAAATCGTGTTGGGAAATATTCACTCTTTTTTCCTTGTAAATGCTTTGTGAATGTATTTCTCTTAGAAATGAATATTGAAAGTATGACATAAACTTGTACAATCTAGATCAATCTACCAAATATGACACAGGGATTGATTAGGCTTAACAATCTAGATCAATCTTCCAAATATGACACAGGGATTTATCAGGCTTAACAATCTAAATCAATCTACCAAACACGACAGATTTATAAGTATCATACCCATCATGACGAGGAGAAGATAAACCTGTTTGCAACTATAAACAGGGCCGATAACCACCCCAGTTGATGTAAGCTGGACATTAAAATCACCAAGTTATATCAACCCTGATATCCTATCTGATGGCTATCACGGTAATTAACCTTACCATGATCAACCTCAATCAAATGTGTCATCACATCGAATTCACCTTACCAGGTTTTACCGGCTCGTCGTACTCCGCGTCCGTGGCCTTGGGTTTTTTACTGTGTGTCTGCCAAGGTTTATTGTACCCTCTACCAGTAACATCTGTTTAAAGGATACACAGCTTTATAACACTTCATATATTTAATCAGAGGAGGTCCTTACAGAAAGATTCCCATATGTAAAAAAAATGTCTTCATCAATTTTTAAGCATTACATATTGTTTTATTTCATTAACTAAAATTGGCAATCAGTATGGCGACAGTAAGTCACATTATTTTTTCAAAAAAGACATCAGTACATATTTGAAATAGAAGGGAACCTCTATATTTCTTGTTTAATTGTGTCAGAATAAATGTGAAATATTTTAATTCACAAAAGCCTTTCCTCATGAATTCATATGAAAATATAAGTCTTGCAAAATGTAAGTGATCTGTGAAGGATATTGATCTTATTGAATTTTCATATTTTTTTCAAAATTCCTCCGAATGGGTTGTAAATTAAGCTATATTTTGGCATACAGATTTCTATGGGTAGATATGGGAACATTATACACCAATTAGTCCCCAATATATTTTGAAGTCTGAGCACATGTATATAACACACATCAATAGACTCACCAACAGATTTGGAAGCCCAGGCTTGTGTTGTCGCTTTCCTAGTCATCTCAGGACTTCTGTTGCGATTCACTATCAATAAAGACATACTCGTGTAAATTGTATACAACTTATTTAGTATACAGAACAGATCAACAAAAAGAGGCGGTCCAAAAATCTTCTAAACAAGAATATTATTTTCCATTTTCGGTCTGGATCAGTACAGTTTGTTGATTAGTCACTCTCATGACCTTCTGAATGGCATTTATTCAGGTGGGAAATTCCGAACGATTGAAAACCGAAGACTCTACTGACAGAATTTAGCAGCTTTTGGTGATAATAATCCATTTATCAATATATGTGAGGTATCTGTTGTGTCATAGTAGATTTTTGTTGTCAAAACTCTGTGTAGGAGAATTCCACGTTTTCATATAGCAGTCGCTCTGGCCCCACACCAGACAATCTATCTGTCAAAATGTCTAAGTCTGGTGTCAGGGCTAGAGGAAACTTGGGCTACTATTTCCCAATAGTCTTTTCTAGAGTTCAACTTTCCCGGTTTTACTGTGTAAATTTTCTGAGTATATGTTAACTTAGATGAATGAACAAGTTCTAGCAATCAAACTATTCAGGAAGTATACAAATTGGTCATGGACATAGATGTTTATTTACAGGATTTTGTATGGCTACTGGATAGTCCAAATTATTCTGACGTTTTATCGCCTTTTTTAATATCGGTCTGTCGTCGATTAACGTCAGAACTCCGGCCCTCTATAATATGCGGGAAAGTGACGATTTGTTTCTAAAATATCAGTTAGAAGTGCGCTCCGGACGCGGGTCGCATATTTCCCGCATATTATAATCAACGACAGACCGATATCAAAAAAGTCGATAAAACGTCAGAATAATTCGGACTAGGCTACTGGACTGCTGGGATCTGGTAAGGTTGCTGCTGACTTCAAAGGATTGAAGGAGTGGTAAACATTATTGTACTAAATGGATATATTATGGAATCTTATTTACAGGTGCAGTTATTTAATGAATTGCATTATAAACATAAAGGATCGCATACTTATTCTTTCTGGAGAACTCCTTCTGACTCCTGCCAGTTTCAAATCCTGAAATAAATAAAAAATAAAAAATATGCTACATAGAAACCTTTGATATATTTAACAACAATTTTTTCCATGTGTTAGAGCAGGTCGTTCATAACAGGGTTTTTGCTATTTATTTTGAGGAAGGGCCCCTGATCAGCAGGAATCGGGAAAATATCATTGACATTTGGCAAAAATTGGGAAATATCATCTGTGTTTCCACATGTAAAGGTTTGGGAAAATATCATAAGTTTGAAAAAAATAGCACTTGCAATGTGATTAGCAGAAAGTTTTCCTTTACCTGTTTCTTACAGTAAAACGTATAGCAATAAATAAAGACATCAATTTTCAGTGTTTTTGTTTACTTAATTTCAAATTCTTTATTTAAGTTTTTTAAATGCTCCTTCATGGAAGGCAATACTTGGGTATTTCACACTGAATTTAAGATAAGATATATATACAGGTATATATAATCTGTGTAGTGACAACTTACTGTAGGTGTGTCCATCCCTGCCTTTTTATACAGCACCTTTATCAGGTAGATCAATGGCTTCTCAGGCTGGTCATGTAGAACCTTATTCATTAAATCCTGAATAAAATAAACACCATTCATTAATGTTTTTATAAAAAAAAAATATGTTCAAACAGTACTTGAGTAATGAAAATTTCCAACAGCCCTGCTATCTTATGTTATTTTTTATCTTAAATAACTGAAGTGTGATTTGTGGCTTTAAAGAATAATTTCTGGAGAGACATAAATCTTTATGGTAGAGTTTTAAAATAGGTAGTGGCATGGCTTTTCCATGGGTTTAGCAGTTTAACACCAATTCTAGGGATTTTTTTGCATATGAAGGTCTTAGTACCAAGATGCTTTTATATGTAGGAGAACTGGACAGGGTCTTTCAGTCCATTCTGGTCATAATACTCTGAGTGCTGCGTTATATCATAAACCTTTTTTTTTTGCATTAATTCGGAACTGCTGTAGCATCATTTATCACAGCCACAAGAACACTTCTACTGTAGACCCGTAAAGTCTTTCATTTAGGGTAACCAAGCAACCTGAATTTGACTCCACCTTATACACACACCCTCCCCACCTCATCCTCGTTATCCGGGGGGTTACACTCCCTTTCGCTCTCTACACCCCTGGAATATATATCATCATCTAATCTAGAACTACAATCGCTAGCACATTGGCTAAACTTTGTCAAACGAAAAGTGTTGAAAACAAACCACGAAGTGGGAGGCGAAAAATGTTCACAGCCAGGGACACTACTGCTGTTGTTCGGCTTGTGAAACAAAACAGAAAATCTATTCTAATGGATAAACCTAACAAACTAAATGAGGGGAAGGACAGATCTTTCTGTTAAAAAAAAAAAAAGTTTCGAAGAAATTACATTAAGAAAGGATATATTAAGCAACGAGTTTCGAAAAAGCAATTTAAGTGAAGTAAACAAAACACATGTTTGGTGGTGTCGGGAAAGAAAGAACTGGAAAAGTGACAGGGAATGGAAAAACATGATATTTTCTGAGGAAAGTCAGGTTGTAATTGGAAAAAAGACAGTTAAGTCATAATCAACAGCCCTTATCTTGTGTGCCCCCCAATCGAGGTAGAAGCTATCTTTGATGATCTGGGGTTACTTATCTGACAATGGTGTTGGAACACTGGTTGCTGTAGAAGGTAACATAAAGGCTCAAAAATACATTGAGATTATATGGACAACAACTTGTGGCCGGTAATTGCTCAGCATTTCCTCAATAATGAATATGTATTTCAAGACGACAACGTTAACGCCCTCTACATCGGGCCCAGATAGTGAACCATTACGATGAGTCAAATGGAATAAATTGTACAGATGGCCAGCACAATCGCCTGATTTAAATATTATAGAAAACATATGACTAAGGATCAAACGTGACCTAGAAACCGTCGCAACAAACATCACACAGAGCTTTTTGATGAAATTCAGACTTTGTAAACCTTCCTGTAGGCTGTAGCATATGTACAGAGGTTGTACGACACAATTCTAACCAGAATTTTAGGGCAGAATACATGAGGCAGGTTTTAATTGTACATAGGATTAAGTTTGCCTTCTAGCTTCGAGCTAGAGGAGTTTCTCTTTGGCTCAGTGCACGTGGTAGAACGTCCGAGTAGGAACCGGGAGATCGCGGGTTGGATCCCCGGTGGAAGCAAAATATTTTCTTTCCTGTTACAAATGGTGTTCGTGGCCCTCCCTGTAGTGACAGAGAGTTTGAACCTGGGTTGTGGTGTTCGAGGGCGAACACATTTAAAAAGGGGGGAGTAGTGTGGTAGGTTTTAATTGTACATAAGATTAAGGTCACCTTCTAGCTTCGAGCTAGAGGGAATTTCCCTTTAGCTCAGTGGTAGTGCGTCCGACCAGGAACCTGGAGATCGAGGGTTCGATCCCCGGTGGAAGCACACTATTCTCTTTCCTGTTACATCTGTTTGAATCTACCGCAAAAAATGTACACAATGCGAAGCCATCTTGTAAACGACATAAACTTATGTCCCGTGACTTAACGTTCTGAGAGAGTGTAGAAGACAGTAAGACGGAGGAAGAGCGAACATGTAAACATCGGTCAAATAATATTGTATGATCCAAAACATACTGATGTGTACACATTTCATAGGTGTCAGGTCGGGTCGTTTCGGGATTTTTTTCTTCTTCTGTAGTTACCATTGTTTTTTTTTCTTTACACATATTTTAATGTCAACTAAATTCAAACAATCGATTGGATAAAAGTTATTACAACTTATCATTTAATTTCAATACAGCAAAACATAAAATGCTTAAAACATTGTTAGAATCAATATTAACTCATTCGTCTCTTAATGTCAATAATGGATGAAAGAGTGAATTGAAAACATATTATTACAAATCAAACAAGGAGTTTACTTATCAATAACGAAATAAATTGAATGTTGAATTTCATAAGTTCCCCTAGATCTGTATTTGATAATAAATTAGTTTCACCAGGTAACAACACGCTGTCAATCGGGTAAATATTGGTAGACATCCCCTCAAGCACTAGCAATCTGTTAACAATAATGATCCCAAGCACGGGTAATTCGTGACACATGTCATAGACTAAAACCATACTTGTGTATTTACAGGAGTTTTTATGAAACGGGAGCAAAGTGTTATTTATAAGTGAAAATTGTATATGTCCTGAAACGGCTTGATTAAGTCCCGAAACATCTTGCGTCCTGTCCCGAAACGACTTGTTACCGAAACTACTAGCATTCAAATCAAAAGTTTTATTTAACGTCGGTATGGTTAAATTCATTTCATACTATTTAACATAACACAGCACATGTTCCGTAAGTCTACATAACATGGTATTTTCTTAACAAGATATTTGACCAATACGGAAAAATCACAACTACTGTCAAATGACAAGTCAAAACATGCTAACGTCAACGTGTTGACATTTCCCCCCAGACGTAAACCGCTGCACTGCATTGCTTACAACACATTGCACAGTTAGATATTAAGTATAACCTCAAAAAGTGAGCTGAGACGATGTCGCTCCATGTAGTGCTGCATTTTCTGTGGAGTACCCATGTTTCTGGGTCCACGATCAACCAGTCAGGCTAAATTTGTTTTGGAATCCAGCGGGCCGGAAAGACATTTGCGCCACCTACACTATAAGTTGCTCGAGTGCGTTCGATTGTAGCTGTGTTATAATTGCATGGAAGTACAAAGTGAACGCATGGAGTCACTGTATGAAGCCCTCACAAATAACACAGATTTCAACCAATATTATGTTAAGCATACAACGTTCATTTCACTTATTTTCAATTACAAGATACATTACTGAAATATCAGCCGGATGCCAAAATAACTTTAACTTATCTAAAGTCATTTACGTCACAAGACAAATTTGATGGCCGCTCCCACCCCGATATGAATTTTGTTTTTTTAAATAAATAAAGAGGTTGTCCGTTATTTCGGACTAGGGTCTGTCCAGATATTGAGAAATCAAAAGGATTTGACGCTGAGTATGGACAGTCATTAATTATAAGACTTCATGGTATGCTGTTATTATTATCATTGTTTCATCATCAAATGGTGTTAATTCTATATTGCGATAATAAAAAGGATTGATCCCTAGTCAGAGTATTCAGTTTCCTTTATTTACCCCATAAACACTACCATCCACTCCGACTACCAAGTGTACATTCAGAAAGATTTGCCGAACGTTAACAGTAAATTTCAAACCAAGTCTCAGGCAACGGTGCGGTGTTATTTCTGTTATCTAAACATATTAGGCTAGCACATCCTAGTGTGATAGTTTGGAGTAAGGTTATTTAATGTTCGAGTTTTGTCAAATGACCCATGAACACAATTCTCGATCATCTATCGCAAATAATTTATTCATATGTCGTCCTAATTAACTCCGAACTGTTAAAGACATTCCAATATTCGGGCGCAATCATATGGAACGCACTATACCCACTGATATATAAAATTATCAAAGACTCTGAAACATTTCAAAAGTCAATATATACGTAAATATTGCTGTTAATATTTCCTTTATATCAGAAATACTTTCTTGAGATTTTTGTTGTAAATATTTGATATTCTATTGTATTGTGTAATATTGTACATATATGTATGTATACCTGTTGTTGTGTTTTGACTGCATTGGTATGTTATTTACATTTACATATGAAACCGGAAACCTTATATTAGTCTTAACCAGTCTCCGATTGTTCTCTAATGAAATCAGAAACCTTATATTAGTCTTAACCAGTCTCCCATCGGGTTATAATGAAATCAGAAACCTTATATTGGTCTTAACCAGTCTCCCATCGGGTTATAATGAAATCAGAAACCTTATATTGGTCTTAACCAGTCTCCCATCGGTCTCTAATGAAATCAAAAACCTTATATTAGTCTTAACCAGTCTCCCATCGGTCTCTAATGAAATCAGAAATCTTACATTAGTCTTAACCAGTCTCCCATCGGTCTCTAATGAAATCAGAAATCTTACATTAGTCTTAACCAGACTCCCATCGGTCTCTAATGAAATCAAAAACCTTATATTAGTCTTAACCAGTCTCCCATTGCTCTCTAATGAAATCAAAAACCTTATATTAGTTTTAACCAGTCTCCCATTGGTCTCTAATGAAATCAAAAACCTTATATTAGTCTTAACCAGTCTCCCATTGCTCTCTAATGAAGTCAGAAATCTTATATTAGTTTTAACCAGTCTCCCATCGGTCTCTAATGAAATCAAAAACCTTATATTAGTTTTTACCAGTCTCCCATTGGTCTCTAATGAAATCAAAAACCTTATATTAGTTTTAACCAGTCTCCCATTGGCCTCTAATGAAATCAAAAACCTTATATTAGTCTTAACCAGTCTCCCATCGGTCTCTAATGAAATCAGAAATCTTATATTAGTTTTAACCAGTCTCCCATCGGTCTCTAATGAAATCAGAAACCTTATATTAGTCTTAACCAGACTCCCATTTATTTCTAATGAAATCAGAAACCTTATATTTGTTATTACCAGTCTCCCATTGGTCTCTAATGAAATCAGAAACCTTATATTGGTCTTAACCAGTCTCCCATTGGTCTCTAATGAAATCAGAAACCTTATATTGGTCTTAACATGTTGTAATCAAGAGCGAAAAATTCAAGCTCGACCTCGGGTCTTTAAATGCAATTTGAAAATTAACCAACTCGAGTTATCCAACAAACACTCATTGTGGACCTCTATGTGACCGCATTGATATTGCCATAGAAACGGTTTTATTTAGTCATGAGAGAAAGTGATATAACATGAACAATGAGATAAGGAAAAATCTCGAGTATTTTAAGTTCATCAGAACATTTTTACTTAAATTGTAAACTTTGAGTTAAAGATAATTTATAGACTTGGATTCGCTCTTAGAACATCATTTCATGCCTACATTGAAATATTTTCTTGATCTCAAAGATACAATGCACCTGGTATGTGGATGAAGGTAATCATAATTCTATTTTAGTATTTCGATTTTTCTTAAATTTCAGGTTGGCGATTTAAACTGTACACAGATTTATGTGTAGTTAGCTGTTAACTATTGTGCTTATCGATTGCACAACTTTTTATAGAGATAATTGAATATTCCTCGCCCGGGGTTTTAATTTTGGCCATTGATTCGTTTGTAGGTACAGTATGTATCGATAAAGCCCTTTATTATGAGAATTGCACAGAGGTTTTCGGTGTGTACCGTCTAACCCCCCAAATATCTTGTTATTCCTTAAACATATATTGTACTGACTGACAAAAGGCCTAAATTCTGATATCCAAACGTTCAAACATACGTTGACCTTTATTCATTATAAATCAGGCTGTAGTTTAAATCATCCCAGTATACTAGTACTATTCTATAGCTGTGTGCGGTTCAGTAGGTGTTGCATGAGCCGTCAAATAAAAAGGCCGAAATCCAACGATTAATTTCGTTTACAATAAAAACACATTGATGAACATATTTCTAATTTATCTTCACACAATACGTGTATGCTTACTTTAATATACTTTACAATTGTTGTATTATACCCAGTATAGTTCCTCGCGTTACACTTGTATTGATCATACTACACACGTTCCTACACTCTCGGTTGGAAATCTTCTTTGGCCTTAATTTTGACGATGCGTTTCATGCTATATAAATAATTCACCAATCATACAAAAGCAAAGTGGACCGCTGTCTGATTAGGGATCAACTCCATATTCCGCGGATCACTTATTACCCATATTTATATATTGCGTGTCTAAAAATATGTTTATCTTCAATCTAAACAGAAGTCATAACATTTAAATCTGTCTTTTTATTACTCGTCGATAGAATGCCGTTTTGTATTCGTGCTACCTCACAGGTGGCTATCACGGAATGTTAGCTGGTTTTGGGTAATTGTATATCTGACGGAGCAGCAGTTTTAACCTAACATGGACTTCCTAAGGATGTGGATGTTATTGATACATGTGATGTTGGGTTGGAGTCCTTTACCCACAAACGGTAAGCAATTCTCTCTTTTATTATCATATATACTAAATGTATGACTGGCAAAGGGAAACAGGAAATATAATAAATATATGTGTAATCATTTGGATGTCTTATAGATAGGGATAATGGACACAACTCGTATACTAGTGATCAATACTATAACGTTTTATAATAGTAAGCAGGAATCTTATAATAATGTTCAGGGAATTGAAGATTTTTGTGTAGTATATCTTTGATTGATGTTTTAAGACCATTTATTGAAAAAGAAGTGAATGCATCTTACTGTATCAACACTCAAAATGACTGTCTGTCTATTGACGTTATTCCATGATGATTATATCGTCCAAAGATAAAAGTCTCCTTGTTGTAAGCAAAAGGGACCATAAGAGCATCTAATAAAACTCAAACATTTATAACATAGCCTGTACCTTATCTCATTCCCACAGGGCGCGTTCTATTGTTTCCATATCAGTTTTACATGAGTTACAATAAGGACTATCAGCTACTCCTGCCTTAAATGAGGATGAGTTTGTTGTCAAAATGTGTTGATTGATTCTGTATTTTCCTTCTTCTTGTTCGTTTTCTACCTACCTTTCAATTTATGTAATCTGATATTTTGTAATTCCTAGTTTTTTTTCATTCACTTTATCTATATTATCATCACTACTATCTTCTAGTTCACGTATAGTTGTATGCATGTTAAGTTTGTCATTTAATCTCTAAAGTCAAAAAGATAACGTGGGTAGGGAGACTTTATACAAGTCCTAGTAAATGGTAAATTATACTTAAAACTTCTGTTGGTGATAACATCTTGGCTAACTGTGTGAATTAATATATGTCATTATGTCACAAAAATTGTGAGAATCTATATTGGAAAGATCTTATAAAATAACACTATCAATCACCAGATAAATTGGCCAAAACACCAGCATGGTATAATAATGTAATTAAAGTAAATAATCAGAGTATTTTTTATCGGGATTGGTACAATAAGGGAATTATTATTATTAGCGACTTAATCAATAAAGACACCAATTTGTTTTACTCTTTTCAGGAATTTCAACAGGTCTTTGGTATAAATACAAACTTAATTAATTACCAAGGACTTTTTTTCAGCTATTCGAAAACATATACAGAAACAAGATTTACCATGTCCTATCTATCCTTTCATAACAATTAATTTAGAAATACTTTTCCGCAGTAAAAAAAGGGCAAAATATTTTTTATTATTTACTGATTAAAAATAATACAATATCCACTGGAAGAAAAAAATGGGATGACGTTTTTAATTTTGACAATGAAACATGGAGGAAAATATATAAAATATCTTTTCATATAACCAAAAATTCAAAATTACAGTGGCTTCAATACAGAATCAATCAACACATTTTGACAACAAACTCATTCTTATTTAAGGCAGAAATAGCTGATGGTCCTTATTGTAACTCATGTAAAACTGATGTTGAAACAATAGAACATACCCTATGGGAATGTGATAAGGTGCAGGTTATGTTACAAAATTTTGAGTTTTCATTAGATGCTTTAATGATACCTTTTGCTTATAATAAGGAGACTTTTATCTTTGGACTATATAATCAAGATGGAATAAGAACACCAATAGACAGTACAATTATTTTGATTATGAAACAATATATTTATTCAGCAAGATGCCTTTGCTAGTCATACATATAGATATTTACTATTGATTGCCTGACATCTCTCTCTCTCTCTCTCTCTCTCTCTCTCTATGTTTTGTCCATCCTTTTTTTCATCCTCTGTCTATTTTTCTTTTTATTAACCTTTCCTTTTCTGCTTTCCTTATACAAATGTAATGTAAATGTAAACATTTGAAAAATGTATTGAAATGACAATCAATAATTGTTTGTGTGAAAGTGGAAGCAAGGTAAGTGTGTGTGAGATTTTTAGCAATTACAAATGTACTTTGCATTGTATAAAACAATTCTGAAAATAAAACAAATACAAAAAAAGAAAAAAAACCTTAACATGTAACATTTTTAAATCCCCATTAATTGCTTTATGAAGGAAGCTGTATGGTGTTGTTCATTTAAGTGTCGCCAAATTTTATTTAGACTACCTAACAATGCCAAATGAAAGGTCATACGCATCTTTCTTCTGTATTTCATGCATTTTTCCATTGACTATTCTTTAAGCCATTTGTAACGCTATTGGCACCAACATCTTTCCTGAAAGAATTTTCGCTCATACTTGTTTTTTAAATTTCCATTGATCTGTTCTTGAGATATGACGAGGTAATCGGATTTAAGTAGAACAAAATTAAACAGCGAAGTAAAAAAAACATCTTGAAAACTGCTCAACGGAAAACTAAAATATTTATAGTTTCAATAGCATCATCATTGACTTCATGAGAATTTACACACAAAAACATATGGAAATGCGTGAAATATAGAAGAAACAAGTTTTTTACCTTTAATTTGGCAGGGGGCTGTATGTATTTAGTAATACGTCGGCATGTGGGACAATGCTGTGACCTCCTCCCCTCCCCACCTGGTCAGATGGTTGGTTTATTATATGCATTATACTTTAGTTTACAAGAATAACAACTCATCTTAATTGAATAGTACAAAGGCTACTTTCGACAAGCACAAGTAAATAAATGTCAACGCTCATTTCCTGGTCTAACGATCAGCGTCTCATTGATAACTTTACCTTATAATTATTTGATTTCCGTGCGTTTGAGTGTCAATATGACGCTAATCTATCAGAAAACGTCAGCTTTTGTTACAATACATATTCAGAGGAACCTGTGTTATGTATGTCTGGACGCTTGGGGTACAAAGGCCAAGTTCATAAAGTCTACATGTCCAAGTACGGTTCAGAATATAGGCACGTCTACTGAAAATTAGTCCATGTTTTGTGAAAAATATATATTTACATACACTGTAATATTGAAAACTACGGCATCTGACTAGTACTGTTTATCATGTCGGGTTGTAGTGATATATCATTAAAAACAAATATACAAACTCGTACAAAAATATGATGTATTTCTTGTTTCTTATCTAATATCAGAGAAAATTACAACTATTCCCGAGGAAGTCACGCTCCCTCGGTAAAACTAACCCCTCGGTAGTCACGCTCCCTTTGAAAAACTATCTCCCCTCGGTAGTCTCGCTCCCTTTGTAAAACTATCCCTCGGGTAGTCACGCTCCCTCGGTAAAATTATCCCCCAGATGTCACGCAACCTTGGTAAAACTATCCCCCCGGTAGTCACGCTCCCTCGGTAAAACTATCCCCTCGATAGTCACGCTCCCTTTGTAAAACTATCCCCCAGGTAGTCACGCTCCCTTGGTAAAACTATCCCCCAGGTAGTCACGCTCCCTTGGTAAAACCATCCCCCAGGTAGTCACGCTCCACCGGAAAAACTATAACCCAGATGTCATGCACCCTCGGTAAAACTATCCCCCAGGTAGTCACGCTCCATCGGTAATACTATCCCCCAGGTAGTAACGCTCCCTCGGTAAAACTATCCCCCAGGTAGTCACGCTCCCTCGGTAAAACTGTCCCCGAGGTAGTCACGCTCCCTCGGTAAAACTATCCCCCAGGTAGTCACGCTCCTTTGGTAAAACTATCCCACAGATAGTCACGCTCCTTCGGTAATACTATCTCCGAGGTAGTTACGCTCCCTCGGTAAAACTATCCCCGAGGTAGTCACGATCCATCGGTAAAACTATCCCCCAGGTAGTCACGCTCCCTCGGAAAACCTTCCCCCAAGTAGTCACGCTCCCTCGGTAAAACTATCCCCCAAGTAGTCACGCTCCCTCGGAAAAACTATCCCCCAGGTAGTCACGCGACCTCGGTAAAACTATCCCCAGGTAGTCACGCTCCCTTGGTAAAACTATCCCCCAGGTAGTCACGCTCCCTCGGAAAAGCTATCTCCCAGATGTCACGCGACCTCGGTAAAACTATCTCCCAGATGTCACGCGACCTCGGTAAAACTATCCTCCAGGTAGTCACGCTCCCTTGGTTAAACTATCCCCGAGGTAGACAGGCTCCCCCGAAAAACTATAACCAGATGTCACGCAACCTTGGTAAAACTATCCCCCAGTTAGTCACGCTCCCTCGGAAAAACTATCCCCCAGATGTCACGCACCCTCGGTAAAACTATCCCCCAGGTAGTCACGCTCCCTCGGTAAAACTATCCCCCAGGTAGTCACGTTCCTTTGGTAAAACTATCCCCCAGGTAGTCACGCTCCCTCGGAAAAACTATAACCCAGATGTCACGCTCCCTTGGTAAAACTATTTCACAGGTAGTCACGCTCCCTCGGTAATACCATCTCCGAGGTAGTCACGCTCCCCTCGGTAAAACTATCCCCAGATGTCACGCTCCCTTTGTAAAACTATCCCTGAGGTAGTCACGCTCCCTCGGTAAAATCCCCAGATGTCACGCTCCCTTTGTAAAACTACAACCCAGATGTCACGCTCCCTCGGTAAAACTATCCACCAGGTAGTCACGCTCCCTTGGTAAAACTACAACCCAGATGTCACGCTCCCTTGGTAAAACTATCCCCGAGGTAGTCACGCTCCCTTGGTAAAACTATCCCCCAGGTAGTCACGCTCCCTCGGTAAAAATATCCCCTAGGTAGTCACGCTTCCTTGGTAAAACTGTTCCCCAGATGTAACGCTCCCTCGGTAAAACTATCCTCCAGGTAGTCACGCTCCCTCGGTAAAAATATCCCCTAGGTAGTCACGCTTCCTTGGTAAAACTGTTCCCCAGATGTAACGCTCCCTCGGTAAAACTATCCTCCAGGTAGTCACGCTCCCTCGGTAAAAATATCCCCTAGGTAGTCACGCTTCCTTGGTAAAACTGTTCCCCAGATGTAACGCTCCCTCGGTAAAACTATCCTCCAGGTAGTCACGCTCCCTCGGTAAAAATATCCCCTAGGTAGTCACGCTTCCTTGGTAAAACTGTTCCCCAGATGTAACGCTCCCTCGGTAAAACTATCCTCCAGGTAGTCACGCTCCCTCGGTAA